TAATCTAACCCCTCATTTTACAGATGAGGCACAGAGAAATTGTGTCAGGTTTCCCAAGGTTACATAGGTGGCAGGGGCAGGAGGGCAAAGACAAGTAAATTAGCATAAGATTCTGTGATTCTTAAAACAGCCTATTTTTCTCTTGTAATGGATTAGAAAGTAATTATTAATCACCTACTAGATTCTGTGTACTGGGGATACATTTTTCTTTTTTCTTCAAAAGACAGACTCTGTCCTGGAGAAGATCATATTTTAATAGGGTAAGATGACATATACATATAAATATATATATATATACACATATATACACACACATACATACATATATGTATATAAACAGATACATACATATGTGTGTATACATGTATACACACATATACACATACATATATACATATACATGTGCATGTACATATACACATGCACACATGCACATATATACATACACATATATGTGTATATGTGTGTATACACACACACACACACACACATATATACACACACATACATACATCTCTCTATATATACAAGAGTGACCAGGAAGGAGAATTTTATTCTGAGGAGGTGGAATAGGCAGCATTCCCAAGCTGGCCATAGGCAAATAGTCGGGTGTCCTGGGAGAGGGGTTGGATAGGATGTGAAGATGAAGCAAGATCTGGTGTCTAATGTCAACCACAGATCTGGGGCATAAGTGGATTACTGTAGACACTCTCAGTGACCAATTACTTGGGTTATACCTTAGGGCAAGAGCTGTGGCACAAATGAGTACCCAATTTATCCAATTAACTCCAAATGAGCCTTTTAATCTACCCTGCTGTCCTGATAAGCAGCACAAAAAGAGGAAAATCAATAAAATTAGTCTTCTTGACTAGCATCTCTGTACAAATCATTATAGACCCTATGCAATCAGATATGGAGCTATTATAGAATATTCCATGTCTAATTTTGACAACTATAATAAGAGGAGAGACAGGAGGTAAGTGCTATTTAGAGGGTAAATGACACAAAAAAGAGAATCCATATACAGGCATACCTTATTATATTTCACTTCACTTTGCTGTGTTTTGGGAATTTTTTTTTTTTTACAAACTGAAGGTTTGTGGCAATATTGCATCAAACAAATCTATTGGTACCATTTTTCCAACAGTGTGTACTTACATCATATCTGTGTCACCTTTTGGTAATTCTCAATATATTTCAAACTTTTTCATTTTTATTATATCTCATATGGTGATCTGTGATCAGTAATCTTTGATGTTACTATTGCAGTTATTTTGGGGTGCCACAAACCATGCCCATATAGGATGGTGAACTTAATCAATAAATGTTGTATGTGTTTTGACTGCTCTACTGACTGGCTGTCCCTTCATCTCTGTCCCTTTCCTCAGGCCTCCCTATTCTTTGAGACACAACAACATTGAAGAGTATTACATAAATTTCATTGATAAAGCAGCAGCAGGATTTGAGAGGACTCATTCCCATTCTGAAAGAAGTTCTATTGTGGGTAAAATGCTACCAAATGGCATTGCATGCTCCAGAGAAATCTCTCACGGAAGGAAGAGTCCACTGATGGGGCAAACTTCATCATTGTCTTATTTTAAGAAATTGCCACAGCCTCCCCAACCTTCAGCAACTAACATCTAGCCATTAATATCAAGGCAAGACCCTCCACTAGCAAAAAGATTACAACTCACTGAAGGCTCAGATTATGGTTAACATTTCTTTTTAGCAATAAAGTATTTTAATTAAGGTATGTACATTGATTTTAGACATAATATTATTGCACATTTAATAGACTACAGTATAGTGTAAATATAACTTTTATATGCACTAGGAAACCAAAAATTGGATGTGACTTGCTTTATTGTGTTATTCACTTTATTATGGAGGTCTGAAACCACACCCGCAATATCTCAGAGGTATGCCTGTACACATTTGTTTCCTCTAGCTTTCCAAAGGAGGTACAAATTTATTTTTTTTCTTCTGTTTATAGACCATGACTGATGTTCTGCCCCAAATCTTTTAGAAAAGGCAGAAGCCCTTGCACAAGATCACCAAAACAAAATGAAACAAACAAAAAAACGAAAATGAAAGCCTCCACTCATATCCTCCTGTCTTGTTCCCTCAGGGTCTTGCATTTGAAGTCTTAAAGCAATTCTTTGTCCCAGATACCAAATTCTTTAGAATAAAGAACAGAGTTCTCCTAGCTAGCCAATGCCCCAAGATTGGTGTTCAGTAGCTTGGATCTCATTGGCAGAGGTCACTTTACTTGGTGGTATACGGTCCCTGTTTAATCTCTGAAGTCTAAACAAGGCAGATAATAAGCATTTGCTCAATAACTACCAAACATCTCTGGGTTGCAGATTCCCTAGTTTTTTAGCCCTAAATTTGTTCCCAATGTCAATGAATGAGTTGGGGAAAAAAAGCACAGAGACAATGGCAAGACCTGAGGGGAAGATCATTGTCTTTTCCTCTGACCTGATCTTTTCAACCACATAAAGCCTTCGAAGGGTTTAGTGTTAATCCTCTACATAATCCACTATCCTGGTCTTTAATCTTCATTCATTGAATTCTTTGTTATTGTTGTTTTTACCTATTTCCATCTTTCTCTTTAAGGCCTAAGTAGTAAAAAATGGGAGAGAGAAGAGAGAAAGGTTCGTTGGTTCAAAAGAGAAAACAAACATGAAGGAATTATATTGAATAAAGCAGGGCCTTCTTCTTTTCAGTGATTTCTCTTTAAATCAATTTGGAAAAAACAGTGATTACACATGTGCAGCATTTCCTTGAGTCTAGAACTAGAGAATCTTGGAAAAGAAAAAAAAAAGCTTCTCTGGAACAATGATAACGCAATGGAAATAGAACTCTTTGAGGCAATAATATTCTTCTGTAGACACTTGCGCCTTGTATTCAAATTTCCATTTGTCCCAGGCTCACATACTATTAGAGAGGATGCATTGAAGAGCAATTTGGAGAGCTGGCTTTGGACTGAGGAAGATCAAGAAGTTCCACTTCTGATTCCTTGACCCAAAGGTTTAAGAAGCAACTACTGATCTCCATTGCTAGCAGAAGCTTTCTCACCTAAAGTTTTTTTCTTTCTTTCTCTTTTTCAGCAATTGGGGTTAAGTGACTTGCCCGGGGTCACACAGCTAGTAAGTGTCAAGTGTTTGGTCTGAGGTTGGATTTGAACTCAGGTCCTCTGATTTCAGGGCCGGTGCTCTAGCCACTGCGCCACTTTGCTTCCTCACCTAAAGTTTCTTAAATCAAGAAAGGATATATCTGGATCCTCTAAAATCTCCTCCCTTCCCCATCCCTAGCAAGTACACATAAAATGTCCAAGAAAGCTTTTTGAATTTAATCCAGTTGAGAGGGCCTTTTTGGAGTGGCAGATAGAGCTTTAGGCTTGGTGTCAGGAAGACCTGAGTTCAAATCCTTAATCAGACATTTACTAGTTGTGGAACATGGACAAAGTGACTTAATCTCTACCTACTTCAATTTCCTCATCTGTAAATTGGGGATAATAGCAGCACCTACTTCATGGGGTTCTTGTGAGGATCAAAATGTTTGTTAAGCTCTTGGCGTATAATACTAGCTATTATGATTATTCTTATACATTCTCTCCTTAAGCATCTTCATTCTATCCTCAATGGAAGAAAACTGTCAATCCAAATTCTTAAATCAAAGAAATGTTCTGAAGCAGCCTGCACAGTGCCAGGTAAGATTAAAAAAATATGCATATACATACACACATACAGAAGAATACAGGTTGAAGAACACACATAAGTACATATATACATATGTACACGTATATACTTATATATATTCTTCAATCTTCCCTGCATAAAAATATACACATATTGGGGGTAGATTGTTGGGCCTGGAGTCAAGAAGACCTAAATTCAAATAGTGCCCCAGACACTTACTAGCTGTGTGACCCTGGGCAAGTCACCTAATTTCTGTTTGCTTCTGTTTCCTCATCCATAAAACTGGGGTGATAATAGCACCTACCTCCCAAAGTTGTTGTGGGGATCAAATGAGGTAGTATTTATAAGGAGCTTATTATAATACCTGGCACATAGTAGGCATTATATACATACTAGCTATTATTATATCAATATGAATAAACATCTGTAGATGTGTATACACACTCACACACATTATGTATATAGGACATTTTTCCAACTATCAAAAAGAGATAATGTAGTTAAACATACTTTTTTTTTAAATCATAGAGAATAAGAATATAGATATGGCTAAATAATAATAATAATCCCACACTTACATAGCACCTTACGATGACAATTACTTAATAATCTTGAATTTAATAATCTCAGCTGAAATCCTGAAATAATCCTGAAATCACAGAACTTGGCTCTGAATTGTAGCCCTGTTACTGACTACCTCAGGGACCATGGGCAATTTTTTTGACTCTCTCTCTGTGTCTCTTGGCATGTCTCTCTTTTGGCCTTTGTCTCTCTCACACTCACATGCATAAAATTTGACTGTGCCTAGAATAGAGACTTTTTCAGTACTTATCGATGTGTAGGCTGCATGGTGTAATTGGTGTAAAGAAGGCTGGCAGTCAGGAAGACCCAAAGAGGGATAAAGACACAACCCACTGCTTAGAGAGTTGGGGCTAAAGATCATTCATGATCATTCTCTCTCTTTGTCTCCTCTTATGAATAGGTCCCTTAAAGCCTTTGAAGTTTCTGCTACAAAGAAATTGTTTTAAATTCCATCATTTTCTTCCAATGAAAACACCTCCTCCTACCTCTGACTCCTCTGAACACTCAGCCTTGTGTACAAACAGTGGCCATGGGGTCTTGCCAGATCACTGATCATCATTCCAAAGCTGAGAAGGAACCTCAGTGACCATGTAGTTCAATCTGCTCATTTGAAAGATGAAGAAACTGAAGGCCAAAGAGACAGGACAACTAGAATCCTCTGCTCGTTGAAGTTATACCAGAGAAGCAAATAAGAGGTGTGAGAGAAAATCCTCTTACCCTGGCTTCCTTGACTGTAGCAGAGGCTGCACATAGAAAGGAAGAGGAAGGTCCCGTGGAGCAGCTTCATGGCGGTCCCGGGTGTCGGTGCGATGCCCTTGCCCAGCCAGCTAGGGAGTCTTCTGTCCCAGAGAGGCAGGGCCTAATTAGCAAATGGAAAAGGTGTGTAGAATGTGTCCAGTTCCAGCCCATTCTGACTTATTCAGGGGTTTTGATAACCAGAGGAAATGCACACAGTCCCTCTGGGAGTTCAGTAGAGAGGAGATTTATTGTTTCAGTTCTTTACAGGAACTCCTTCTCCCCCTTTGGCAGTCGCTTGTGTTTTTGTTAATGCCTTCGTTATTTTGTTCTTCTTCAACAAAAAGTCCAGGAAAGGTTTGGAGCAGAAACAACTCCTTCTTTAGAATGGATCCCACGGCTTTCAAACTTTTGTTTTTAAACTATAGTTGGGAGTATTTCGAAAGCGGGATGCTTAGGAATTGAGAACCAATTTGGATGATGAGGCTTTTGCCAAATTTTTGCCATGACTCCTTTTCTCTTCTCTTCCCCTTCTGACTTAGGAGGGAGAGCCATACCATAGAATTGAACAGGAAAACAGCTTTTTGTAGGCAAAATGAAGATGTGTGGAACAGGGAAAGATAAGTGGATTTGGAGTTAGAAGACCCAGGTTCAAATCCCATTTCTGAAATTTAGCTGGGTAACTTTGAGCAAATTACTTTACTTTCCTATGCCTCAGTTTACCCAGATGTAAAATGAAAGGATTGAACCAAGTGGTGTCTATGGTCCCTTCTAGCTCAAATCTATGCTGCTATGATACTAAGTTTAGGATTTGGAGAAAAGATCAAAAGCTAATTGCAAAAGAATATCCAACTATTTTAAACTGAATTAGGCAAAGAACCTGAAGCATAAGTGACCAGTGTTCATTGCTCCTTCTTCAAAGGCTTTATTACAGAATGAAAAGGGAAGAGAGAAAATCCCTTTAGAAGAGGAAGCAGTCATGCTGGTAAATATTTAATAATTAGCTTTCTGAGGGGGGAGGGGACATTTTTAAAGTTTAATTGCATTATTAGTATTTCCCACTCTCTTAAGTCTAGACAATCACAGAACAGTACATCAAGCCCTTATTTGCTAATTCTTAAGGTATAAATACTCACTTTGAAAATGTCACAATTAGCTCATGAGAAAGATGATTTGAGCTGGCTCCAGGACACGCTTGGAAGAGGGGTTTTTTACCTTTTTTCTGTCATGGATCCCTTTGGCTGCCTGGGGAAGCCTATAGATTCCATCTAGCAACCATGTTTTTAAATGCTTAAAATAAAATTCTTAGGATTACAGAGGAAACCAATTATAATAAAATAGTTATTGGAGTACTTTTTAAAAAGCACATGGATCCTTTCTCTGGAAGTTCTAAAGGACACATAATGAAGAGAACACAGATCACAGCTAGGAATGATTCTAGAAGTCATCTAGTCTAAATCTCTCATTTTTATAGATGATTGGAAACCTAAACTCCAAGGGTTAAGAGGGATTTGAACCTATGTCCTCTGACTTTAAATCTCTTTGTTATCAAACAGGGCATGAAGAATTTAGACTGACTCCATCATATCAGAAGAAACCGAGATAATGTAGAGAGATGTTGGGCAAGATCAAGTGACCACATAGCATTGTCTCAGAGATGCCAATATTCTACATGATGCCTAGGAGCATGGTGCCAAAGCAGGCATTATCATGGATCCTGGGCTCAAGCAGCATTTGAACCCATCGCTTTTGCTCTGGTCCATGATCACATGCAGAATCCCTAATCTCAGTTAGTCTGACATGAGTTAGATATTTAAGGAAATTTGGCTGAGAATACAGGTGGAACAGAACACATATATCACCCCTTTGGGAAAACGAATTCCAAACAGAGACAGCTAGTGGCATGGTGGATAGAGTGGTGTACCTGGAGTCAGAAAGATTTGAGTTGTAATCCTGCCTCATAACACTTACTAGCTGTGTGACCATAAGCAAATCCCTTAACCTCTGCCTCAGTTTCTTCATCTGTAAAATGGGAATAATAATATCTTCTACCTTACAAGTTGTTGTGAGGATTAAATGAGATAGTATTTGTAAAGTGCTTAGCACAGTGCATGGTACATAATATGTGCTATATAAATGTTAGAAAAACATATAGAAAAGAGCTATTGTCTTTATGCATAAAGGCCTCATAAGATTTCTGTTCCATTTTGGGTGACAACAGAAGGTTACAGACACAAGGAAAATCATAAAATTCCTGAATGATATAAACTTATTTCTACCAGACCACTGTTAGGGGAAGTTCTTTCTCTTTCTTTTCTTTTCTTTTCTTTTCTTTTCTTTTCTTTTCTTTTCTTT